GGTGAAGGGGGGGGTGGGAATTCGCTTCAGGAAGAGGGCTGAGTGCCCACTGTCGCCTCCATCATGAACTTACACTGGAGGTGGTCCAGGACTCACAGCAGGTGCAACACATGGTTTACCCTCACGTGCATACATCCCCAGGTCTATGACAGCTCCAACTCCTCAGCACAGGGCTCTTGCTCATCATAAACTTTGAGCCTTCAGCCACCTTGCACCCACTCTACAGATGGGGAAACCAGAGCCTAGAACATCCCTGAGCTGAGGTTCCCACTCTTCCCCTCACATTGTATCTTTGCCTGCCATTAAATTTTTTTCAGCGATGGGGCTTGCTTCCTGCCCAAACTGGCCTCGAACTCGTTGTCCTCCTGACTCAGCCTCCGGAGTAGCGGGAACGCAGACGCGCGCCATCGCCCCCATTGCCTTCTGGGAAAGGCCGGACGCCACCGAGATGCCGAGTCCTCCAGCATGCCTAGAGCGTCCCGGAAGTGGCCGAGGGAAGGCTGGAGGAGCGGACCGGCGGAGGACAGAGCAGCGCCGCACCCCCTGCCGGCCCCAGGCCGAGCCCTCCTCCCGTCCCGCTGCTGGTTAGGCCTAGCCCTGCCCTGGTGGGAACCGCCGCCCCGCTGGCCGGGCCGCACTTCGGCCAGCAGAGAAGCCGCCCGGGGCGCTAAGTCCCTCCTTTCCCGCCCCGCGCGTCGGCCCGTCGTGGCCCGGCGATAGGAACGCTTCGGCACCGGGCCGCGACCCCGGGACCCGTCGCCTGCAGAGCGCACGCCAGTGTTTCTGCCACTCAGGGGCTCTCGGCCTCAGCCCTCCGGCCCTGAGAACCCACCCCTTCCCGTGCAGGGAAGCCCTGGGTCCCGAGTTCCGCCCGGCGGCCTCGGGAGGTGGCTCCTGCGCCTCTGTCCCCGAAACGCTCAGGGCGGTCCTGGGCCTTTCCCCCTGGCCTCCCGATGCGCGCGCCGGCCCGCTCTCACCGTGCTCCCCTGGGCTCCCCTGGGCTCCCCTGGACACCCCTGGCCTCGGGAGGCCGGAAACCGCCCCAGCGCTCTGCGCCGCCTGTTACCCTAACCTAAGAATTTGTTAGAGGGGCCGTGGTCCGATCACGTTGGTAAAGGCTGCTCTCTTGCAGAGCCGAACTGGGTGCCCGGACTACCCGTCCCCTACAGGAAGCCCTCGGCACATTGCCCACCGCCCTCCATGCGGGGAAAGCGACTGGCCCAGGGCTGGCTGGCGCCCAGCCTAGAATTTGTCCCGGGGGCCGTGCTGCTTTTGAACATGCCTCCTCCTCTGTAGCGGGGTCTCAGGGCGTTTCCGTTTTGAACCCCCGTGTAAGTGCCCTCTGGCCTGTGGGGAGCTGGAAACGGCCACCAGGATCAGGCTGGGGAGGAAGGTGGGGTGGGAGCTGTGTGATTGACAGCAGTGGTCAGGCAATCCTGGGCCTAGTGGACTGGAGTGGGCTGGGGCTGAATCTGAAGGAGGTGAGGGCATAGGCCCCACGTGTGCGGGCAGAGCAGCCACTGCCTGTGCAGCAGGGGCTCTTCACGCCGTCTGCAGGAGGATGCCAGCACCTCAGCAGGCAGAGCGCAGGGCTGCCCTTGCTCAGCTTGAGCCTCACTCATGCCAAATGCTGCCCTTCCAGGCTGTCAAGTGTGAGGCCTGCTGTTGTAGAGACAGGGTTGGACCTTGTGAAAGGAGGCTGTATTCCAGGAGGGGCTCGTGGGGTGGTTTGGAAAGCTCGTTGAGCACCTCAGCCTGCAAGGTGACAAGGAATGCCTGTCTGCTGCCCACCCTGCCCACCTCTGCTATTCAGGAAGGAGAGGGGATATGGGAGAGAGGTCAGGCAGGGCTGCCCAGTGAGCAGGCCCAGCAAGAAACGGACTGAGCAGGTGGGAAGTCCACCCTTGGGCACCTGGCAGCTCAGCAGCTCTGGCTTCTGTGTAGCACTTGCCAGCCCCTCCCTTAGCACCCCTACCCCAGGAAAAGCCGACTGCTCCTGTTAGAGACCAGAGGTGGGAGTGGCTCAGAGCTGGCATGTTCGAGACCACGAGCTCGCACCAATGGGCCGGGCTAAGTGGATGCCCTGGTGTCGCACTGCAGCCCTCCTTGCCACTGGCTGGGTGGGTGGCATCTGGAGGACACTGTGTCAGGGATACTTCCCGGTGAGCCTGGGGAGGTGAGGACGACTTTGTAACATCATCTTCCTCTCTGCTTTCAGTTCTTGCTGTGACAACACTGTTCCTGTGGAGAGGCACCTATGGCCCGTGTGGTGACGTTGCAGTTACACTGAGACCACGGGAGCTGCTGCCACGATCCCTGAGAAGGAGGCAGAGTTCCTAGCGTGGGACAGTCCAGACAATCTGAGGCTGGGGCCTCCCTGCGGAGAGCTCCGGATCGACCACGTTGCTAGGAGCTGAGGCCCCTGTGGCCGGAGCCAGGAAGGCAAGGGAAGGCTGAAGCAGGAGGGGCTGTAGGAGGTGGGGGCGCTGGGGACGGGCTCGTGCCTAGGTCAGGAGATCTGGCAGGCAGAGTGGTAAGAGTAAGACACGAGAGGACAGCCGGGGGGAGGGCAGAGAGGCGGCAGCCCAGCCGGCCCTTCTGCAGCGCGCACAGGCTGCCCTCCCCATGGCCTCCACGCAGGCTGCTGGGAAGGGCAGAGGGGAGAAGCGGAAGCGGGTGGTGCTGACCCTGAAGGAGGCGGGTGGTGCGGACCCTGAAGGAGAAGATCGCCATCTGCACGCGCCTGGAGAAGGGAGAGAGCCGCAAGGCGCTGATGCAGGAGTACAACGTGGGCATGTCCACTCTCTATGACATCAAGGCCCACAAGGCCCAGCTGCTGCGCTTCTTTGCCAGCTCAGACTCCAACTCTGCGCTGGAGCAGCGGCGCACGCTGCACACACCCAAGCTGGAGCACCTGGACCGCGTGCTATATGAGTGGTTTCTGGTGAAGCGTGCCGAGGGTGTGCCTGTGTCAGGCCCCATGCTCATTGAGAAGGCCAAGGACTTCTATGAGCAGATGCGGCTGACGGAGCCCTGCGTGTTCTCCGGAGGCTGGCTGTGGCGCTTCAAGGCCAGGCACGGCATTAAAAAGCTGGATGCGACCAGTGATAGGCAGGGGGCCGACCACCAGGCGGCCGAGCAGTTCTGTGGGTTTTTCAGGAGCTTAACGGCCGAGCACGGGCTGTCCCCTGAACAGGTTTACAATGCAGATGAGACTGGCCTTTTCTGGCGGTGCTTGCCAAACCCCAGCGCGGAGGGTGGGGCTGGGTTGGGCCGCCTCAAGCCCAGCAGGGACCGGCTGACCGTCCTTATGTGTGCCAACGCCACGGGCTCCCACAGGCTCAAGCCCCTGGCCATGAGGAAGTGCGGTGGCCCCAGGGCAGTCAGAAGCATCCAGCCCCTGCCCACAGCCTACCGGCCCCAGGGCAGTGCCTGGGTGGACAAGGAGACTTATGCAGACTGGTTCCACCAGGTCTTTGTGCCTTCGGTGAGGGAGCACTTCAGAGCCATTGGCTTGCCTGAGGATAGCAAGGCCATCCTCCTGCTAGGTGGCTCTCGGGTCCACCCGCGAGAGGCAGAGCTGGTTTCCGACAACATCTTCACCATCTTTCTGCCAGCCAGTGTCACCTCACTAATCCAGCCCATGGAGCAGGGCATCCGGAAGGACTTCATGAGGAACTTTGCCAATGCTCCCGCCTCCCCACAGGGTGTCCACGCCCAGCCTAGCGTGAACGACGCCATACTCAGCGTGGCCTGTGCCTGGAACGCTGTGCCCAGCCAGGTGTTCCGACGGGCCTGGAGGAAGCTGTGGCCCGCTGTCCCCTTTGCTGAGGGCTCTTCGGAGGAGGAGGAGGCGTTGGCAGCAGAACACCTCCACACTAAGCCTCACAACAAGGCTTTTGCCCATATCCTCGAGCTGGTGAAGGAGGGTGCCCCCTGTCCAGGCAGCAGGCTTCACAGCAGTGAGGCCAGAGAGTGGGGTGCAGTGGGAAGGGGGCTGGAGGAGGAGCATCCCCCAGCAGCTGTATCGTTGCCCAAGGCTGACTGGAGCACACACAAGGCAAAGAAAGCTGGCCAGGCCGGCGGAAGTGGAGAAGACCCCGGGCAGGGCGACGAGGCGACCTGGGAGCAGGCGGCCGCAGCCTTTGACACTGTTCTCTGTTTTGCTGCGCGGCAGCCATGCTTCACTGTGCAGGAGATGGGGCAGCTGCGCGCGCTGCACTCGGTGTTCCGGAGGCAGCGGCAGGCAAGGCGGCGGTGTGTGGCCCTAAGGGCTGTGGTCAAAATCGAAGGCCTCCAGGAGGCCCCTGGCACCCACGCGGCCTCTGTCCGCTCTCCTGTGCCCTGCTCGTCCACCGCAGAGGGTAACTGACAGCGCGCCCGTGAGCTTTTGGTCTCGGTCACTCAGATCAGGCATCCCCTTGTTCTGGTTGGTCAAGGTTTTACCTGATCACTGTGGTGTCATTCGAATGTGAGGAAGTGTTCTCGAGGAGTCTATCCTAACTGCAAACGCTCCAGAGTGCACCTACCAAGCACTGGGCCAGGCCTGCTCGTAGCTGGGTGAGCCTTGCTGTGTCAGGATGGAGATCCCTGCCCGCTCCTGAGGGAATGCCGCCCTGCAGTGGGTGGCTGCGGAGGGCTCCGTGGCGGCAGGACAGGCTGCTGTGTTGTCCAAGTCCCCTCGCCTGCCCCTCGCAAGCCCGAGTGAGCATGGCGTCTGAGGCAGGCTATGGACTAGGCCTTACTCATGGCTTAGGTGGTTCAGGCCTCATGCCATCCCTGCCTGCTCACTGGTTGTGACCATGGAATGTTCCTCCATTTCCAGGAGTCCCCTGACGGGGACTGGCCCGGATTTGTCGAGTTACCTTGGTGGGGCTTCCTATTGGGGAAGCAGGCAACCTGGCCACGCCCTGTGCACCAGCCGTCAGAGGGCACAGTGCCTGCTACTTGCTGGTGTCAGCATCTTGGCTCAGCCCAACCTATCACTCACAGGACCGCCCACTGAGGGCCTCACGGTGCCTCTCGACTGGGCTCTGGAAATGAGTGCCGGGCTAGCATGGGTTGCCGAGAGGCTGCAGGTCCGGGGTCCATGAGCCGTCACCTCAGCCGCCTGCACAGTGCCAGTGCTTCGGGGAAACCTGTGTTGGTTGGTCTCGTGGAGGACACCACAACGTCACCGTGTTGTCCCTAGCTATGGCGTCTTTATGTCAGCATGCCGTGCTGCCTTGGAACACTGGGATGCCCCCTGAATGTGTGTATGTGAAATGGTGTTTCTCTGGGTTCTCACTGCTGTGCCCTCAGGTCCATTCCTTCTGAGCCCTTGGGCAGCTGAACTGGCTCACGTTTCATCCCTGTGTTGTGAAGGGGTCCTTGGGGAGACCCGTGAGAGCCAGAACGGTGGGCTTGCAGGTTTGTCATTTGCACCTGCCTTGCTGACTGGGGCAGGCCTGGAGCTGCCACTTGCCCTGGGAGCTCGTGTGACGATGCTGAGGACTGGCAGTCTGGAGGGATTCCTGGGGTCCGTCACCCTCAGCTCTGTGGCCTTCCCACCATTTCCCTGTGTGTCTTGGGTACCACCTGCACGTCTGTGCATCGCGCCATCTCTTGGCTCCTGTGTCTCAGCCTGGCTGCGTTACGGCTGCTCATGTGGTCCCAAGAAATGAGGTGTTGGGGCCCCTCAGCCCACGCCATCTCTTGAGGCTCTACTGGTGGGCAGCATTCTCCCAGGTCCCTGTGAGTGGTTGCAGGTCCCCCATCCCAGCTCCTGTCCTGCCCTGTTGTGGCTGATCAATAAATGCTTGTCAGCTGACTGGCCGGAGTACTGTGTCCTCAGGGTGCCCTCTGCTGGGATCCCAGTGCAGTTCAGGAGTGTAGCACGCAGCCAGTCCTTTTGCCTTCCTGTGCCTCCTGAGTGAGGTGTCACCCAGAGAGGGCTCTGCCCCACCCTGCCAGGGTCCTGGGAGCCTGGCTGTGTCCTTGGAACGCACTGGCACCTCACCACTGGCCAGTCTCACAGAAGCTCAGATGGGTGAATGTTTTAGCCTCAAACCCCACCGGGACACCCTGTCCCCCCAGGTGGCACTCCGATCCCATTTAAGCCCTGGCCTCTTGTGCAACAGGCTCCCTCCGTGTCTTCTCCATGTATCCTTGGGTGCAGCCCAGTTCTCCCGGGCTGGCTGGGCAGGCGGGTGCAGAGCAGGCTCACTGGCCCCTTGGGGTCTTCTCACCCCGGCACAGGGTATCTATGGCACATGTATGTGTGCATGCACGTGCGTGTGCGTTGCCTGTTCAGTGCTCATTGCATGTGCACCCCACATTCTGTCCAAGTAGGTGGACCTCAGTGGCCATCTGTCTCAGGTGACATGGCTGCATACCCTGCCTTCCTCTGCAGGCATCGCTAGGTCACTTGCCACCTGCCTGTTCCCACTGGCCACTGCCTGGAGGCCTCTCTGCCAGCCTTGACCCACCCACTTGCTGATGGGCATGGAGACCCTGGGCCCAGCACATCCTCACAGGGCCAGGATGGCAGCTTGGCTTCTGCGTTCCTGCCTGTAGGGACAAGTAGGCAGCATCCCCAAGGCATGGCAGCTGGTCTGCCGGCTGGATGGCAGGTCCTGGGCATTACTTCTTGGGAAGCCCAAGGTGAGGAGCTGACCAGAATCTGCTGGGAGGGCTGCACAGTCAGCTTCTGCCCCAGGAACCAGGCAGAAGTGCTCAGGTGTGCGGCTTGGTGTGCAGCCTGCCCTCGGTCCCTGCTTCCTAGAGCTGGTGCTGCCTGCTTGGACTTGTCTGGTCCTTTGAATGCTGAGGAGACTGTCCTGGTGGTCTGGCCAGAGAAGGCCATCTCACTCACATGCGCGAGGTCCACTGTGACCATCTCACCAGGAGCTCCTGCCGGGGGTGGGGTGTGCAGGAAGCTTGTGGCTGGCCAGAGCCCTGCTTGGACCTGTGCCTACCATGTCCCGGTAAGCCTTTCCCCAGCTGTCATCAAGGTGGAGCAGGTGGGAAGAAGGCAGCCCCGGTCAGCTCTTGAGGGCGGGAGGCCGTTCCCTGGCTCCCTGCTGGAGGATAGGCCATGGAGGGGCTGGTGGGTGGGCAGGTGGGTGAGGGGCGGGGGGAGGGGCAGCCCTGCTGTACCTGTGTGTTGTACCCCTGAGGACTGGTGTTGAAGCCATGACCCAGTGGGATGGTTTGAGGAGGAAGGAGTGGCCCTCTGGGAAGTGATGGCTGCCCAGAGAGGGCCCTCCTAAGAAGAGAAAGAGCTCAGTGGCCGGTGCCCTGTGGGCGTGCATAGAGCAGACGGTTGTGCCAGCCAGGAAGATCCCTGGGCAGCACTGGGAGAGCTGCGAGTGCCGGCTTCTGGCCTTGAACCTCTGGGCAGCCCAACTAAGGCGCAGCCAGGAGACCTGCTGCTCCAGCCCTGCTACAGCCCACCTCCCCCGCTGTTGGCTTCTGGTGAGGGCACAGGTGGGGGCTGCCTCAGTCCACACAGCAGGCGCTTCTGTCGGGAGATGGCAGGGGTGGCATGACCCCTAGCTTCCTTCAGCCTCCCTGAAGGCCCAGCCCCTTGCCAGCACACTCTGTCTTCCCCAAGCTCCAAGCCTTTTGGATGGGGTGTTACCTTGTAGTAAAGGACTGTGACTCCACCCCAAGTCCTAGGTTCTCTTCAGTGACACGTTGGCGGCTGCTGTGGGTTACCCTGTCAGGCGGCCTCTCAGCAGGCTCTTATCAATCTCTTTAGCTGCAGGTGTGGTTGAGTGGCTAGGATTTTTTTTTTTTTGTAGGAAAAGAGTTTGAAATCTATGCAGGTTTGTCTTTTAAAAAATGTTATAGGGTTAATGAATCACCAGAGAGAGAAAGTGAGACACTGCCCCCTAGGGGATGGCCACACTACAATCTCTTCTCCCTCCTCTTGGGATTTTGGGCACACATGCCTAGCATGTTTTCTAAGCCGCCGAGTCCAGGACTTGAACCAGGCAGTCGACCCCATGAGATCCAGTGCCTTAACCTCCACACCATCTGCTGGTCCTACCATGTAGTTTTTTTTTTTTTTTTTGAGAGGTTTTTGCTATAGGGCGCGTGCACTTGCCAGAAAGACAGAAGAAATCTCCACCCAGGGGGGATGGGCACACATGCACCCGCGCCCGGTGTGAGTTTAAGCCACTGGGTCCAGGACTCGAACCATGGTCGACTACATGGGAGTCCAGCGACATAGCCATTATGCTATCTGCTGGTCCCCCATGTAGTTTTTTATAATACACATTTTTCCTGAAATTTTGTTAGCGCCCTCATATGCTGATTGCTTTGGAAGAAAGTACATCTTTTGCTTCCGTTATTGACATAACATGTTCATTTCCGAAGGTTAGCAGACATTTAAAACAACAGGAGGGCTCAGGGCTTGAGGTGAGGGGGACAGACCAGGGTGAGGGTGGCTTTTTGGCAGGAAACTCTGGGCCTCTGATGGGGATGAAGGGCATGCTGGGGTCTCAGAGGCCTTGTGGAGGTGAACACTTGGGCCACCCCATCTTGACCCAGGTCCCGCTCTGCAGCACCCTCGGGTGGGCAGCCTCGCCTCTTTATCCCGAAGGCAGGAGTCAGCTCACTTGCCACAGAGAGCCCGACCTCCCGCGCTCCTGAACCTGGGCCCAGGCACTGGCTTTTTGTCTGTCATGGGGGCCACAGGCCCCACCCCCTCCCGGAGTGTCTCATCCACGTGAAGGCTGCCCAGGGGAGCTACCTGTGCAAGACGAGTGCTATGGCTGCAGCTCGAAAGGGTCAGGAGTCAGCAGCGAAGCCGCTCCGTTGCAGCCGAAGCCTGTAAGTGAGCAGTGCAGCCTCTGCTGAGCGGGCTCCACCCAGGCGGCCTGTCCTTGAAGGTCCCCTCCAGTGCAGCTGCAGGGCATGTGAAGGCTCTGGCTCTTGAGTCACCTTGGCAGCCTTGGGGGTTTCCTGAGTCAGGACTGAAAGTGGATGGAGGTGCTGGTTGGGTCCCTGTGTTGCCCATTGGATGGGTCTGTGTCCCCCGGTCCAAGGCTCCTTGAACGTGGCCATGGTGCGCCTTGGGAACACCGGGGGCGGGAAGGCCAGCGCCTGCAGGTACCTGGAGCGGCGCCCAGGATGGAGAGAGCAGCAGCAGCTTCGGACGACTGCTGATGGAGGGGGCTGCTCCCCTGTGAGCATGGCGCTCCTGTTCCAGACGTGGGACCCAAGGCCCTGGGCTAAGGACCCACAGCACGTCTGACACTTCGCACCTCAGCAAAGCATGGCAAAATTGATAGGAGATGGAAGGAGAGTTTCTCACAGTGCTGCCACACCCAGGAGACAGGCAAATGCTCCAACTGCTTGGCCGACATCTGGGTGCCGCTGTAGGCCAGGGGCACTGCGGGTCGATGGCTGTCTATAGGAGAGTGCAGGGCAGGGTAATTATAACTGGGGGCTCCGTCAGGTGCGTTGCCTTCAGGACAGGAGTTTCTGCTCACACTGGGGCCACCCATCCCTTGTTTCA